TCCCACACACACACACACACACACACACACACACACACACACACACACACACACACACACAGGGTGGATTATGGCTATAAAACATCATCAATCTGACCACGCGCATCACACAACCTTATCAAAACAAACACACTAGGACCTTGTAATTATAATATGAACAAATCATTAACATATGTAAATGAGCTGCATATAATCAGACGTCGACAGCTGATAACGTTATACTCACCTCTCCTTCATTAAATGCTTGATTCGCGATATGGCGCTCTCGTCGATCTTTCTCAGAAACGTTTTAAATCTCTCCCTCTTGTTTTCCAGCATTCTTCCTCTACGCAGATCGACACACGCCGACAAAATACGCCGTTGAACGAGGATGCGATGATCCGGTTTCTCTCCGGCGTCCCATGAACGCGGCCTGATTAACTAAATGAGACAAAATCGGACCAAGCGCTGGCGGCCAATCAGCGCGCATCTGATCAGCCGCGGAGCCCAATCACTGCGCGACACTCTCTCTCGGACTCCGCCCATGCCCTTTTATGGGCAGGACGCGTGTGTGCATGCAACGTGGTGGTAAGGTGGAGGAAGTCAGGGTGGAGAACTAGTGTGGAAGGCTGATTATACACTGATTGTATTACAGACCGGCCTAGTGTTTTTAAACTCTGTTCTCATGTTTTGATACGATCATGAGTTTGAACAGGTCATGCGTGTCTAAATGTTCACTAGTGATGGATTTGAGACATCTGTCTAACTATCTATTAGGGATGGGAAGATTCCCCGATTCGCTCGGTGCATCGGCAAAAAAAGTTAACGATGCGATGCATCGGTTTAAAAAGTGTGCATCGGCTACAACTTGGCATTTGCATCGCGATGCATCGTTTCTAACATATTTGCATTGGTAAAAACTGATTTATTTATATATAATTACTAGTGGATGGCTACACTTTTATTGCAATCTGGGCTAAAGCAGTTCCATAAACGACAGTGTAAGTTCACACACGCTCACTAGCCTAATTTGTGGACGCTTAATCTTAAGCAGCCCTTAATGTCGATCATGTATCAACAGCGAATATATCTGTGCTGTTTAATGCATTTGAGACGTTGTGTTTTCCTCAGTGCATAACTGACATGTCACGAGTATATTTTTCCGCTGTAAATGTTAGAAAGTCATGCAGATATATCCATTTTTCTTGCTGTCAGGAGCGAGCGAGCGAGGCATACGCAAGTGAACGAGCAATAAGTCAAATATGCATTTTGCTAAAATATTCGTTGTTGGACATTAAATGTGCCTTTTGTAGAATTTTAAAACTACATATTAAATGTGCCTTTTGTAGAATTTTAAACCTACATATAGGTGTATTCTTATGATAGCAGTAACTGTAAAGGGACTATTGTAATGAGTAAATCAAATGTAAACTAATACAGTCCTAATTACCAAGCTTACTACTTAATTACTACTTTATAGCAGTTAAAATGTAGTTTTAATTTAGTGATTTTAACTGTTAGTTGAGTGATTTTAATGCTTTAAAGAGCATTGTTAGATTGTAAAGTTCTAATGCTATCTGCTCTAACTATTAAAGGTACAGCTGTCATAAAACCAGAGAGAAAGGCTGCATGGCTATGATAGTATGTGAGAGAGTCAGTGGTAATATCATTGCATTCCTATTGTTCAGTGTTAGAGGAGCTCAGCTTTGTCTGACAGTTTGCCTGCCCTGGACCAGGTTAGCTTTCCAGCAGAAGTTGCCACAGTAACTGATTTTGATCTTTGTTAAATTTGTTTTATGGAACCAAATCATTTGACAGTGAGTCAGACTAACTGAAATAAGCCTGGCCTATTTGGTAAACTTGTTTTATGAAACAGGCCTCGAGGTGTTAGAAGTCAGAAGACACATACATAAGTTAATTTATGATTTGTTGTCTGTCTGAACCAAAGAAATAAATGCGATCATATTTTTCCATTGCATCGTATTGCATCGAAATCGAATCGCACTGCATCGTAACAGGGGTGAATCGTATCGCATCGCTAGCTTCTTCATATGTATCTTCAATGTATCGTATCGTTGGCTATGCATCGAGATGCGTATCGCATCGGCCTCAGTTATGGAGATGCACATCCCTGCTATCTATCTATCTATCTATCTATCTATCTTTTTTTTTAATTTCTCTTATTTGAATCACACATATGAATCACTTCAGTCCCCCGGCTACATAATTTCATAATCAAATCACGCTTTGCTGCAGAAATGACCATTTCAACACAATTTTCCCCAGATCATCTCGTCGCTTTTGCGCACATGACTGCGTCACATGACATCTCATGACCCGCATATGCCCTTTTATGCATAAAACATAGCGGGAGCAATGTGTGTGCAGTCAGTACTTGGAGGAAGGAGTTGACACAGCAGCTCACGTTACACTCATCATCCGAACAGAGGAGGCCCTGTACCCACTGCAAGACAAATATCAGCTCATCTGACCTCTGGATGTTCCTCATGGAGACTTCTGTCATTTCATGAGCCCAGTTTGTTCAGCATAATTATGAGGTTACAAATGCACACTGGAGTTTGTCAAAAATTGGCTTTAAATGCCATCTGCAGTTGATTTCAAGACTTACTGCTTGCTACAATGCTTTTGTTGAAAAAGAGGCAGCAAATATTGCCAATCATACAGCAAACACTACATTTTTATACAAAAATATAATGCAGTACTTCAAGAAAGTTTCTTGCTTATGCTAAACTATTCTTCAGCTGTTAAAGGAAAAGTTCACCCAAAAATGAAGAAATGTAGCATTGCATCAGTGTCTCAGCAATGGATGCTCTGCAATGAATGAGTGCAGCTTTTTCACTGGAGGAAGCATTATTATGGATTATGGATTTTAGTTAAAAACGTCTTAATGCTGGATTTGTTTCAGCTTTTGTCTTCTCCAGATGTTAATTGATGGACTGGAGTGGTGTTGATTACTTGTGGATTATTGTGATGTTTTTATCAGCTCTCATTCTGACGGCACCCATTCACATCCATTGGTGAGCAAGTGATGCAATGCTACATTTCTCCAAATCTGATGAAGAAACAAACTCATCTCGGATGGCCTAAGAGTGAGCACATTTTCCGCAAATGTTAATTTTTGGCTGAACTACTCCTTTAGATCAGCTAAATATTTGACCAAACACACAAACGTTGCATCTCTGGTGTGAAGATCGTCCTCTCCGCCAGCTCTACAGACAGATGGCCTCCAGGTTCTCAGCGTGTCGCTTCACTTCAGGTGTTCGTCCTGCTCTCCAGTGTCACCCATAAGATCTCTAGTTCAACTGGTTTTGGGTTTCCACTAAGCAGGGCCTGAAACCGCTCACCTGTGCAGCGTTGCCTGGCTACCCTCATCTTTAATTTAACACGGCAGACTCGACTGCAGACGGCCGCGTACGCCTCGCTCTTCACCATGCAGGAGTCAGAGAAGACGACGTGCGACCCAGAGTCCATGCAGAACGGAGAGGCCATGAGTCCGGACGCGCAGGACTCCAAAGGACCGCCGGGGAACGAGGAGACCCAGGGAGCCGTCCCGTCGGCCCCGCCGCTTCCCCAGGAGCCTCCTCTGTGTCCGAGGCCCAAACTGGTGTTTCACGCACAGCTCGCGCACGGGAGCCCGACGGGACGCATTCACGGCTTCACCAACGTCAGGGAGCTTTACGCCAGGATCGCAGAGGTCTTCAACATCTCCGCTTCTGAGGTACAGCGAGTCTTTGGTACTCAGCAAAATGTCTTTTTTGGGTCAAAGGGAAACGTTGCTGGTCTGAGGAGTGGTGTGTGGGTCATTTGTTTCTTGGGAAGTATGTTGGAGTTTGCTCTTAAGGTAGTAAATGTCGTGTGTACATAAGTTGTTGAAAGTTGCTAGATAATATATAACCACTACATTAGTTATTTTGATCATTATTAAAATTGATAATATTAAAAATAATAATTTGGGTTACAAAATTATGCAAAAATAATTACCTACATGCTAGTGGCTAGTAAATGGGGGAAAAACAATGGGAAAATACAAATGAATAGACAGATAGATAGACAGATAGATAGATAGATAGATAGATAGATACTTTTTTCAAGTAACTGGTAAAGTAACGTATTACTTTTTAATTTACAAGATAATATCTGAGTTACTTTTTCAAATAAGTAACGCAAGTTACTTTTTTTCAGTTTATTGATTGACAGCTCTCCTGTCCCCATGTTGAGAGAAATCAGAAGATGTTACTGTAGTTCTAAAATAA